GTTGGGAAAAACTCATGTTACCTAAGAATAGAGATTAATCCTATAAGGGTTATAATGGGCCATCATTGATGAGATCGGAGTATACCCGGATGAGTAAGCTGATGGATTGTGTGGTGTGTGATAATGACATTTAGAGACGGGGGCCAAAGCCTCATCTACGTACCATCACACAACATACGCATATGATAGTCCTTTCGGAAAAGAGAATCACCTTTCAGGGTGAAGCTTATGTATGTGTGTGAGATTACCCCTATGCACCATGGAACTATGGTTGCATCAGGTCTAAGTGACTTTGATACGTCTTTAGGGGAGAACCTAAAATCCAAATACTGGAACTACGACCCATTACCTCTTGGTTAGACTTTAGTAACCCACTAATAAACTCATGCATGGACTGTGGGCCATAGGCAACATTAGGTAGAGTGCCCTAATGTTTATTTATTTATTCCTATACCATTTGGATCATTTTCCCATTAAATGAATTTTAATTATGTTTGTTTGAATGATATATAATTTTTAGAATTTTTATTTGAATTTTTATGAATCTCTGGGTATTGTATTTATCAAATTTGGATTTATAAAAATAGAGTTATTGATCTTAAATTGATTTATTTATTCAAAATCATTTTTATGAATTTTTTAAATTATAAATATTTCAATATTGCATGGGAGGCCCAATAAGCTAAATGGACCCACCATGTCAATGGGGGTGGGGCCCATAAAGCGCCACCTAGGGTGGCATGCCCCACGTTAAGGATCTTTCCATTTTCATGAGATCAAGCTCTTCGCTTGAGGGCGAAGCCATCTTAAGTTTTGGTAAGCTTTGAGTGTAAGGAGCTTTGAAATCAAATTAAGGAGTGTGAGAAGGTTTATGCTTGAAATAAGAAAAGATAATATTATTGAAGATATTTTTAAATTAATTGATGGTAAAATGGTTTAGGACATGAGTAATAAAGGTTTTAGCACCTTACATATGATTTTGATGACCTATCTATGAAATAGAACGTTCATATCTTTCGCCCCACAAATCATCCAAGATCAATGATGCATATTCAATCTCCCAAGAAGATGCAATCCATGGAAAACCCTAAACCTTTTGAAGCTCTATAAATAGAGATGCCCTCTCCCATATTCTTTACACAAGAAACTTTCTCCCATCTTTTTCATAATTCTCTCTTTCTAACATAGGGGGCACACCCCACTTAAGAAAGTCTCTATCCCCCTCTAAGTTTTGAAAGGGGCACACCCCACCTCTGCTAGATCTCTCTCTCTCTCTCTCTCTCTAGTAAGGGGGGCACACCCCATTTAGGTCGATCTCTCTCTCTCTCAGCTTGCCATCTTTTGGCCTAAAGGGTTTGGGTTATAAATAAGAGATGTTATCTCTCAACTAGGTTATCAAATGGTTCAATCTTAGTTTGAGATTTTGAGGAGGTCATGTTCTGTTGGAGGGTTTAGACTAAACTTGCTTTCCCATACTTGAGATTAGAGGTTGCCCATTGATTCCGCACTATCGGAAGGATGTGACTCAATATGGGGGGTAAGAAGCCTAGTTGAGGTAATCTTTGACACGTTTTTGATTTTTTGTCATATTTCTTTTGTGTCTCTTATTATTCCCAAGCATAGTAAGTGTCTTTCTTAATTATTGAAAGAAAAATTTTATAGTGGCATCAAGTTTCAAGATCCTTGATTTATTTCTTTTGAGTTAATTTATTGTAAAAAGGCTACTTGTAATTGATCTAAGCCGTGAAGAAAAAACAAATAGTAAAAATTGAAATATGTATATTCTAGTTAGATCACATAAAGCGCTTCTTTCAAGAGAGAGATATAAAGAAGGGAGAGAAGAAGAAAATAAAAAAGGGTGTTGCTGCCTCATGAGGGTCGGAGAGAGAGAGAGAATGGAGGAAAGAGAGAAGGGAGGAAAAAAAGAGAAAGGAGAGAGAAGAGGGGACAAGGGGAGAGAGAGAGAAGGGAGAGAGAAGAGGGGACACAAGGGGGGAGAGAGAGATAGTGAGAGAGAAAAGAGGGACAGTGACAGAGCCACAGTCCCATGATGGAGAGAGAGAGAGTAAGATTTGAATAAGAGAAAGGAGGAGAGAAAAATGAGAGAGAAAGAGAGGGAGAGAGATCGACAAGATGGGGGCCGTAGGCCCAAGAGAGAAAAGGGTGAGAGAGTGAGTGCAGAGAGAGTGAAAAGAGGGCAGCAGCCCTGCCATTGCCTGAGAGAGAGAGAGAAAGAGAGGAGAGAGACAATGATGAGAGAGGAAAGAAAGAGAAATAGAGAGACAGAAAGAGAGACCGACGTTTGGAGTTGTGTGCCTAAGAGATAGAGAGAGAAATAGGAGAAATTAGGGAAAAGAGAGTGAGAGAGAGAAAGTAGAGAGAAAGTAAAAGGATAAATAAGCAGGAAAATGTAGAGGGAGAAGGGAGAGATACGAGAGATAAAGTAGAGACTGGTACCTAAATGAAGGGATACCGACACCTAGATGAAGGAAGACCGGAGCCTTGAAAGGAGGTGGTAGAGTGTAGGGACTAGGTATGGATGGGTATGGGTATGACTATAGATAGGTATGGGTATGGATATGGGTATGGATATGTTTATGGTATATAGGCATAGGTATGGTGTATGGGTATGGATAAGTGTATGGTGTATAATTATGGGTATGGTGTATGAGTAGGAATGGTATATAGGTAGGTATGGTGTATGGAAGTGAGGAGTGGTGTATAGTGTAGAGTGCATCGAAGTGAAGAGTATGGGAGAGGGGTAGATGTAAAGTTTTCTCTCTCCTCTCTCTCAAGGATTAATGGTTTTCAATAAGGCTCAATAAACACCTCCGCTCTCCTAACTTCAACTCACTTTATTCAAAATTTGCCAACCTCCTTACAAAAATGAATTAAAAGGCTTATATAGACATCCACTAAACATGGGTGGATATCCAAAAGTTGCTCAAAGTTACTAAAATTACAACTAAAAGTAAAATCCTTTTTTTAAAAAAATGACCAAAATAGCCCTATGTAGAAAGTGGGAAATGGCGAATTAATCCTCTCGAAAAAGGCCCGTGCCACAGTCATCATTTGGGAGCTTTTCTCGGATCTTTTTGGTGACAATTTGGATGATCAAATACCGTAGAATTGCTGCTTTCATCATCACGAACATTTTGATGTGCATTATTGAGCTTGATTCGGAATTTCGATGTCAATCCCAAAATTTAGTTAAGTTCAAGAACTTTTGAAATTTCGATCATCGAAGTAGAAGAATCCATCCCATCTTTAGTCTTCTTTTTTATCACAAATCGAAGGGAACTCTGTCATGATCATTTTGCAATAAAAATCATCCGATTTGGTTGTCGGTCAATCACTTTCCAAATTAGGGAGGTCACCAGAAAATCAGATTCCAAAAACCAAAAAACTTGCCACTTTAAACTTGAAATTAAGTATCATCTGGTCTTCAATCTTGCGCAAATTTTACCCCATAACATTTCCCTTTGTCTCACGGTCTCAATGGGCCTTTTCAAGATGATCCGATGTTGGGATCTCAAGATATGGCCATGTGATCAAACTCATATTTGTCTTTTGAAAATTCTACAACACATAAATTTTTTAACTCATTTTTTTTAAAAAAATTCTATCGTTTTGTGCAATGCCATGAGCTGAGCCTTATATAAAAAATGTGCGGATTGATTAGCTCTAATTGTGTCAAATTTTGGGCTCAATCGGGATTAAAATGAGTGAGTTATGACCGTTCTAATTTCAGTCCTCAAATCAATTGGTGCAATTTCCAAAAATGAGAAAGTGGTCCCCTGTAGTCTCACCATAATAGTGTAAACCCCCATATTTTTAGTAAGCTGGTTACAAGAGTTGATATCATGAGGGTTTTTGACGTTCCGGATCCAATAGAAGTGGTCTGGTGCTTATGTGAGGTTTCAATAATAGGGCTACAATTATGAGGTTTTTTTCAGTATGATAGGAACTGGATTTGTGATCCATATTTCAATCAGGTATATCTTAAACTTGTCGGATCGGGCTGAAACTTGGCAAGTTTCACTTGGGAGTGAATTACTACCTCTTCTGAAGTTTGAAGCTATTCCAAAACTTTCAAAATCTGGGCTAATTCTTTCAGTGTTTCCATAGTCCAAGAGTGTTTCTATACTCCTAGACCCGGATCACGACTTGCTACTTCCTTATTTTGCGTCGGGAATGCAAGTTCATAAAAAATACCCTATAATAAGTGCCCCACCAAAATTTATCATAAGATGTACTTTTTGATGTCAAAATTTGTTAGGATGGTTTGAGAATCCACTTTCATACCTAATTATAAATTTTTAGACTAAAAAAATAGTTCAAATCAAAATGCACTATTTTTTGAGACACAAAATCTTTTTTTTCCTCTCATATTCATCCTTCTCAATGTTGAGTATAAATTAGAGGGTTTTTCAACTCCAAAACAATATTTTACAATGGATTTTTTAGGCACACCTTAATTCTATATTTTAAAGTTACAACCTTATATGAGCTTTTTTCTAAATTATAACAATGCTAAGTGCTATATCCTTGATCGATGTTACAAAAATAAATAGCCACTGATATAGAGAAGGGAAAAGTTTATAGAGAGTCGAGGCTCTAAACAATCAAATTAAAGCTTACCTCAAAAATTTCACCAAAAAAAGGTCGTTTTGATGGCCAAATATCCACAAATTGATCATAAAAAAATAGATTTCAAAATTTGAAAATAGTGTATTTTATAACACATTTTTATACTGTCAATTTTTAAAATTTTCAAAGTTTTATAAATATGTTCTTTAAACTTTGTAAATAAAAATGAAAATATATTTTAAAGCTATCACAATAGCATTGAAACCACATTTCTCCACATTGTTTGAAGGTAGGCTCTAATTTGATTGTTTAGAGCGTAGGCTCTATACAAACGTGTCCATACAAACGGCAGAGAATGGGACCTCCTTCGCTCGTTATCAAGCATTAGCATTTGTATGGTCATATCATCTGTCCTATTAATCGCTTAGTTTTCTCCTCTCACTCTCTACAAAGTTTCTCTCTCAACTCCCAAGCACTTTCTCTCTCATCAGTTCTCCGTCGACCAATGTCAATGGATCGCCGAAAACCAACGAAACCGCCTCTCTCTCTCTGCAAACCTAAACGCCTCTCTGTCTCTCTACAAACCTAAACGCCCCTCCCTCTCTGTCCATCTCTATATTTGCCCTTTTATGCGGAAAAAACCAAGCCAGAGGGAGAGAGACTTTTTTTTTGTTTGACAAGATAGAGAGAGAAACACTTGAACCAACTCGCAGGCCTCTCTCAATCCCTAGGGGGTCTTCAATGGTCGGCGTCATGGCCTCTTGTCCTAGGGACAAGGCCCTCTCTCTCTTCAACTCCGCCAAGTTCTCGATCGAGATTCCTTCCAAGCTGGAGCCATTGAGGCAGCTCCAAGAGATCGTGGTTTACAGAGACCCCACTTTACTTGTGGAGTTCGTGCCGCATCTCATGGAGTTGCAGAGCGAGCACTTCAGTCCCATTCGCAAGTTTCTTGCAGAGTATGCATTTATTATTTTTCTTCTTTTACGTCCTTTTGAATCTTTCTCTAGGTTTGTGTAGTTGGTATTTTGTTCTTGTTGGAAAGTAAACATGCGTACAGAGGGGGGCAATTGTTGCCTTGTTATCGGTTTTGTGAGAAAGAAGATGATTAATTTGTGGAAATTCTGCTAATTTTTTGTGCTATTTGTTTTGTTTGTTCTTGGTTAATGAGTGTAGAATGCTTGAGAAAACTTGTTAGGGGAGTTAACATAATTTGGTTTTTAGTGGGGATAGTAGAATTTGTCTCGTTTAATGTATTGTAGGATGATTTAGGACTTATTTGACGAGCTATAGTTTCTTGGCTTTTGTAGATATGGCCGAGTTTTCTTGTTTGCAGGACTATCAGAAAGAGAAAAGAATTGCTTTTTTATTATTGATTAATTGGAATGGATTATTTCTTGAATCCCTGCTTATTGGTATTTATCATTATGATATTGAATTGGTTTGATTGGATTCTTTTCAGTAATGCTGGCATTAGCATGCTTAGTAACTCGCCTTGGCTGAGGCGAGGTACTTGGCCGAGTTGGAGTTCCATAAAAAGCCAAAAGCGCTAGATGAATACAAAACTTGAAAACTAAAACATGAAGCTACTAAAAGTTAAATAAAACCAAAAACAACCTTAAAAACTCCAAAGAAGGTTAAAAAGGTACCGCAAAAGCGGTTTTAAGAAAATTGATTATAGTTGGGGACATTTTAAAAAAATGAAAAAAGAAATAAAAATAGGGATCTTGCAAAAAAAAACTCACCAATCTTTGGCAAAAATCCAAAATATATAAAAATTTTTGCTGAACAATCCCATATTTCTTACAAATTTCTGGACTTCTTGATTTTTTTTAATGTACCCCGAGTTGTACACACAACTCAGGGTAACATGGCCTCACCCATTGGGCGAGACTGAGTTACTCACTCGAGTGGACTCAGGCATGTACCTTAACACTAGTCTTTGCCATTATGAAATAGAATCTGTTTGATTGGATTCTAGAGAGGAATTCCCTCTGCAGTTTATTCTTAAAAAAGATGTGAGAAATTCCCTCTGTGGTTTATTCTTAAAAAATATGCTCTTTGTAGTAATGCTGGCTGACCCATGTTTGGTAATTCCAGATTGGCGAATATGTCAATTTCTGAATAGTTTCTAGTTTTTTTTTTTTGTGTGAATTACGCACATGTGTTTATGCTATAGTTTTGTCAATAGAAAGAGCTATCTGGTCAATGCATCTTTCCTTTTTCTTTGACAAGTGCAGACTCAAGTGGGTCACACGGAGCAAATATGAAATAGTCAAGTATGATGCAATTCATTTCTATGTAGGCTGCTAACTGTAGAAACATGCATTTTCAGTTATTTTTGAAAATTGTTTTGATTAGTGATTCCATTATTTATGTTGCTAACCTCTAAATGAGCTGGGTTATTTGCTACCAACTTGATTTCCCTTTCAATGTGAGATACACATTCATGACATTGCACTTTTTAACAGGTACTACATTCAAAACATTACCCTTTGTAACATGAGATATATTCCCCAATGCCACACTTAGAGCATAAATAAAACATCTTAGAAAGAGTGTCTTGTTGTATCGTGTAGCTGACAAATGACGTTCCATTTGTCTGTTTTGATATGTAAGTAGAAAACGAGAACCATCAAATTCTTTTTGAGTCTATGAAGTAGTACTCAAGCTGTTGCCCTAAGCACAATATTTGGACCCCCTATGGCACTTAATTTTCACACGACCAGCATTCTTGAGAGACCTGCTGCGATCATTGTTCGACCTGACTTACCCTTTTCAATGCCCATAAAATTTTGGTTTTGAAGTTCCTCTGGGTTTTTAGTCCTTAGTTCTCTGAATTTTCTTTATGTAAGTTTAGAATGGCAATTGACACATTTATCAGATGACGAATTATATGGAATTTCCTTTGAGGAGCTACATAAACTACGGTTCCATATTGGCTGAAGGATTGCATCGGGGACTTCCTGGGATGATAATTCTCCTCTAAAATTCCAAAGGGCCATTTTTTAGTTTCCTAAATCCTTTTACAAAGAATTGATGTCAAGACTAGGACATTTAGGAATTCTTGAACTTCCTAGAAAGAATTGCAGCTTCCCTATCTCCATCCCTGTTATTATGGGAAATATAAAGTTCCTTGTTATTATTTGGCAATTGGCAATAAATATCTGAAATTTTTATTTTATTTTATATAGATATTTTAATTGTAGTTGGAGACATAGGCCCCATTTAAATGGTCAAATTTGGGAATGAGGCCATGGTTTTGCTCCACCATTTAGGAGTGAAGACTGTGTAGCGTGGTTTGCTCCTCTATTCTCGGGTGACGGACTTTCTTGACTCCACTTATTATGGATGCACCACCAATGCTTGCAACCCTAAAATAAACTAGTTTTTACTTGTTTCTAAATACCCAACTTATTTGATTAAGATGTTATCCCATCTGAATGGGGCCTCAAGTTCCTCTAAATTTCTATATTGTTGATGCACTATGACCCTTATGTGGGATTGTTTTGGCTCTTGGATCATTTATTTTATGCCTCATTTGGACGTGCTGATGGTCATATCAGAGAATTAACCCTTCTTACATTCGGTGTTTTAAAAGGTGTAAAGCACCGCCCCAGGTTCCTGGTCACCAAGGCGTGCGCCTCATGATTGAGGCGCCCCATAAACATTTTTGGCTGGTCGGGTGTCGGCATTTTTTTTGTTTTGTTTTGGTAGGGGTGTCGGGGGGTGGTTTTCATTGATACTAGCCCCCCCCCCCCACATTACGGTTTTAATTTAAAAATAGAAAATCTGTTTGACTTTTATCAAGTTTTATGTGATTTGATTGTTTTGCGCACGCATGCGCAAGTTTGAAACTTGGATCTTCTAATCTAGAAGATTAGAACCTCTGAACTTGTGCAAACTTCAAAGTTTTTATTCTAAAGTCAATTTTAGAATAAAAACTTTACTTATGCAACATTGTGAATATGGATTATGGACCTTAGGTGGCTTAAGCCTTATGGAATAAATAGTTAATACCATTACCGCGACACTCCTCACTCCTCCTCCTTAGGCCTATTTGCCATCCTCGTGCTTTCTATCTTTTCTCAGAAGTACGTTTAATCCTTTGTCTGTTCCTTCGTGGGCTTGTATTGTGTGACCATTTTGGTCGCCTCTACGTTTATGAAATACAATTATAGTGAACTTTCCTCAAAAAGATAAATAATTAATACCATGCAAACAAAGATAGGTCTTAAAAGTTAGAAACCCCAAGTCCTAAAACAATGAAACAAGAGATCATATGTAAAATTGCAAAGTGAGATACGTCGTCAAAGTCCACAACCTTATCACGAGCATCGCCACCTTCATCATCACTAGCCCTTGCATCTGATGCCAAGCCATCATCAAAGTCATCTCCTTCGTCGACATTCTACTCTTCTTTCTCCGTCTCTTTGGAGGGCTCCTCCTCCTCTCTTGTCCTCAAGTTCTCCTTGAAGATTTAGTATTTGGCATAAGGCTCGATGAGCTTTTAATTACCTCATGAACTTGAGGACAAAAGCTCAAACGCTCTGCAACGAGCACTTGATCATCTCCAGCTTCTACCATCCACTCCCTAATATCGCTCATAACTCTATCTCCCTCACAAACATGGGGTCAATATGAAAGCCTCTCTGATAGTGCTATAGCAGGATCTTCTAAGGAGCGGGTCGCTCCGGCTCTGGATGCTCGATCCCACACTCCGATGTATGGGTTCTCAATTCCGGGCAATTCCTTCATATATGGGACCTCAATCCTGGAAATTGGGAACTTTATCCCATGTTAATAAAAATCATGTTCCATGAATAAGCGGAACCGCGATTCCACCAATTTGGAATCGAGTATCCTCTAATTTGGAAGCAAGTTTCACTGGCACATTTTTCGGTTCGTATACAGTGGAGTGTGGTTCTCCAATTTTTTATGACCTATAAAACATTATGAATACCATGATTTCTTGCATATTTTGCAGTTCACAACTTGACACACCTTGTGAATCATGACTTATGTTTAGTTTCAAGGAAAGGCAATAAGAGAGGGCAATGAGAAAGAGGAAAAAAGTTAGGAGATGAGAAAGTTGGTCGCATTTCGGTTCTATTAAGGAATGAGGTCATGATTAATGCACTTAACTTCCTTAGCGCTAATTCATTGGGTCTTGTCCACCCCTGAAGATCATCTATCGCTTTAGTGTTGGTCAACCAAATTGAGCCTCTCATTGGGTTGCCTTATGGGTGATGGAATAAATATATGTTTGGAAATGTGAGGTCTTGCTCATGTCTATGTCAATAAACCCCTAGTGATCTTTGACGAATGAGAGGTTATAAGATATATATGGCAATTGGCAATGTGTTTCCTTTTTTCTTATTTTGCAAAGGAGAGCTTAGCTATCGCGGGGCATTTCTTTTTCGGAAATAATCTATCGCAACATTGTTAGATGTAATTATCAATCGATATTCGAGTGGTAGTTGTCCAATCCAACCATAAATGAGGACGTGTGTGTATGTAGGTAGACCAATGTAGGTAGGTGTGCAATTTTTGTAATGGACCCACAAGGGTAATTTTTTAGAGTGCAATTTTTATCACCCTTTGTTCCCACCGCTAACGTATTAAAAAACATGCTTTTATTAAGGTGTGTGATGAATTTCTTGTTAATAACTAAAGAACAAATCAAGATTTAAAAGGGATTGTCTACAAAAGGACCATTTATCTTTTGTACATGGAGCACACAATCATTCCTACTCATTAGATGTCAAATTGGATGGCTTGGGGTGAGTCACGAAGTCCGAGAAATTTTTTTTTTTAGAACTTTGTGTCTATTCAATTACAGTCTTTACACCACCCATTTTGAACTTTAAGGGACAAGAATGATTGTGACCTCCATGTACAAAAGATAAATGGTATTTTTTTAGACAATCCTAGATGAAAAAAATGTGTCATATGACTT